AGCACCCCCGTTAAAGGGGCCACCCCTTCCCTCCATAACCCTGACCCTGTTCATTTTCCTCAGCGGCATTTACCACCATTAACACTTCATGCCTAGACACATGGATTATATATACACAGATACATATGTAATGTGTATAATCCATTTGTCCATCATTCCCATGGAAATAAACACAGACCAACAATATGAGAAAAGCAAAAGCTACTATTTATTCATAACTCACTACAGCAAGGGGGTCAGTCACGCCACTCGAACTCTTGCAGAGACTCACAGGCAGGGAGAGGAGCAGGAAAGCTTTATGGTGGAACAAAGCGAAGGCTTCAGGTGTGGTCTGCTGGGGGGCTGCCAGCATGGGGAGCTGTCGGCGGGCTCACTGGAGGGGGGTGCATCTTATGTGACTGGTGAGGAGTGGATATTTGGCTTTCTGTGGTTGCTCCTCAGTTGGAAGTGGACATAAAGTTAGGGAAGCTGTCGTAATTCATCAAGCCCTGGCCATTCTGGGCAGATTGGTACAGACGTTCTTGCTCACCTTCCGAGACTGTTACTAGACGTAGCAATCTGGCTTCCCGCGAGCCTGACTTCCAAAAGGCTGGCGTCCTCTGCCGTTCACTGTAGACCAGGGCTCGCTTTCTCGCAGGTTGTGGGTCAGAGTTCTGTTTTTATCTACGGTCCGCCCGTTGTTCGTTTGTATATTCAGTCTCTCATCCTTCACTAGGATATAAACAGTAAGAACATTGTTTTTATTTACTGCTCTATCCCCAGAGCCTAAAATAGTGCCTGGTGCCTCGTAGGCACGCAGTGACTGTTTGCTATATCATAGTGTTTGTCCAGGTCTAGTCAGAAACGCCGTGGCTCTGCCGCATGACCTGGGTAGCAAATCCACCGCAAGCTGGCACAATTCAATCCCAGGCTACAGATGTTTGTTGAGTGCTTGCTACATACCCAGGAGGCTCCGTCTGGGGCTGTGGTTGTTCACTTAGGTTACACAGGACAAGCATCGGCTGCACATGGATTGAAGCCTGGGATTCTGAGTGCTTTCGCCTTTGCTCAAAATTTCTCTTCTCTCCCACTTTGAACTCATCTCTACCTTTGGGGTCCCACAGGTTCCAGGTCCTGCATTATACTCAGAGACTGCTGTGGCCCACACCTGCTTTCTCTAGCACTTACTTCCTGTGAAACTCATTTAGTCCCCACAAAGTGCCCGTGTGGTAGCTGGTTGTCTTCTTAATGAGCTGGTTATCTTCTCAGTTGGATTATTCCCTTTTAGAGCAGGAGCCGCCTCTCACCCCCAAAACAGGTGGTCTGAGTCTCTCCCCATCCCCCCACCCCTCCTATGGTTGACCTTTTCCCTGAGCTCTGGATCAGATGTCTCTCCGGCCCCGGGACCCTGCAATTTTCTACACATGGAAGTCCCACCTGGCTCAGCGCTGCCATTCAGAGCTATATGCTGCCCTGACAGCCCAAGGCCAGGGCCCCCTACTCGGGCATCTTAATTATTTTCTGAGAAGGGCTCCCCATTAAGTCTTTTACAAAAATATTTAAATAGTTCTGAGTTATCTGTTCTTCCAGAAAGGTTTGAGTTAATTTATCTTTCAGACAGAACACTCAAGGGAGGGGGCGCCTGGGTGGCACAGTCGGTTAAGCATCCTGACTCTTGGTTTCAGCTCAGGTCATGATCTCAGGGTCGTGGGATTGAGCCCCGAGTCAGGCTCAGCGCTCAGCTTGGAGTCTGCTTGGGATTCTGTCTTTCTCTCTGCCTCTGCCCCTCCTCCTGCTCTCACGCTCTCGCTCTCTCTCAAATAAATAAATAAATCTTAAACACACACACACACACACACACTCAAGGAACCAAGAAACGAATAGGCCAGGATGGTACGGGGAGTAGAATCTTTGGGGAGGGCTTATCAGCAGGCTAAGGTCAGCCGTAGCAGACAGAACGGAAGCTCCCCAAGGGCAGGGATTTGGGGCAGCTGTGTTTACTCATGAATCAACACCTGGCACACAGGAGATGCTCCATAAATATTTATTGAATGAATGGGAGTTATAAACACGCACATTAAGTTTGAAATGAGAAATGCCAAGTTTCGGTAGCGATCCTTTTCAATATTCACTCATTTTGTCGCTTTGATTTTCTCAGCCATCACAAAGCACATTCCATAAAAAAAGGCAAACGATAGAAGTACAGATGCGAAAGAGGGCTCTGAGGAGTGAAAGTGTCCATGCCTCGTTTCTGTTCACGAGCCACACATGCTTGTAACACCCTGCTTCCCACGGAGCACGACGGAAAGCTTAAACTCCGGAATTCACCACGTGGTTTCAAATCCCTCAACAATGATGGGTCCCTCTGTGGTCTAATCCCTGAACGTCTCTGCCCCAATTTTATGACTCAGAAGCAGGCAACTCAAAGTTAGCTACAGAAGTCCATATGTGTTTAAGGCCTTGAAAGGGAAATGTGAGAAATTTTTCACAAGATCCATAGCACTCCCTGGCTTTATTTTATTCGGATAACTTTTTTTCCCCCCCAAACCTGGTAAATGTTAGAAAACAAATGGCCTCAGCCCTGGACCTCAGACTTCTGATTTCCCCCCACCCAGGAACCAACTATGCAAAGGGAAAAGCAGATTTTCTCTTGGCCAAAGAACGCCTCATCTGGGGCCACTCCTGACCCCATGTCTTGGCTTCCTCCAGGCTCCCATCTTGGGGCTTGGAAGGCAAGTGGCTCTTCCTGCCCATCACCAGGGGAGAAACTGAGCCCTCAAACAGACCCTAACCTTCGGGAAGTCCCTCCCTGTGCCTGACTTAAATCTCTTCTGGCCGAGAAACCCAAGCCCAATTCCCTCCTGCCCTGTCATCACTGGAGAAGGGGAAACAGCTGCTCACTGCTCTCCTTTTAATCATCCTTAATGGGCTCGTAAACAGTTATTAGGTCCTCCTTCAGCCTTCTCTGAGCCTCATTTTACTTGCATTGAGGCTGAGAGCTTCTGAGGAAGGCATTTTACTCAGGGCTCCACAGACTTGTGGAGTCTTAAATGGGTAATCAGCCACTTCACCCACTTTAACCTCCACAAATGAACAGCTCTGCCTCCTTTTGCAAAATTTAAATCTATTCAAGGGAGTTCCCTGGCAACCAACCCTTATTAATAAATCACGCCTGCTCTAGGCCGGGCAGGGCATTTTTTCAATGTGTCTTTCTCTTGAGAAGTCACCCTCGTGCACAGACACACAATAAACACACAGCCGCTCCCTCAAAGTTCGGCATTTGCAGGATTGTGGGCCTGGGGAGTTCTCATCTGGCTCCCCAACTGAGAAGGGGGTGTGTTGCTCTAATAGACTCTTGCTGGGCCTTTCTTGTGGTTACTGGACTAGGAACATAGCAGCTGGGGGGGGCGGGGCAGGACATAGAGCTACAGCAAGACCTGTTCAGCCTCCACTAGGCACACACTGTAAAGTTCCATTTTCTGCTCCATCATGCTACCATTTATTTTCAGTATGGTTCATGCCCACTGGGGAAAGTCCCAGTTGTATGGCTGGTTAGAGCTTCCCATTGTGTCTCCCCTCTGGGCCCTGTGGTTCCCTCCAATGGCAGGAGGTAGGGGAGGAACAGGGCACGGAGGTGGGACGGTGGGTGTTGTTTTAACTTTGAGAAAGAGTGATTTCATTTCAAGAAAAACTTTAACCAGAATGGCTAAGATGAAGAGGACCGACAGCACCAAGTGTGGGCAAGGAAGTGAAGCAGTTGAAACTCTCCGTCATTGCTGGTGGAAATGTACATCAGAGCCACCAACTTTGGAATTCTTGGCCGATTCCAGCAATGGCTCTGACAATTCCACTCTTAGGAATATGCTCGGAAGGAATAAGGGGTTTATGCTCAGCAAAAAACCTGCACAAGAAGGTTCATAGCCGTGGGATTTATAATGGTAAAATACCGAAGCAGCCACCCAAGTGCAGAATGGATAAATAAACTGAGGCCTAGTCCTGCAATTGAAGAGGACACACAGTGGAAGAGAACCAAATTACTAATCTATAGTGCCACATGGATAAATCTCACAGATGTGATGCCGAGCAAAAGAAGCCAGACATAGGGGGACCTAGGTGGCTCAGTCGGTTAAGCATCGACTCTTGGTTTCAGCCCGGTCATGATCTCAGGGTTGTGGGATCGAGCCCCGTGTCCGGCTCCAAGCTCAGTGGGGAGTCTGCTTGAGATTCTCTCTCCCTCTCCCTCTGCCCCTCCCCCCTTCTCTCTCTCTAAAATAAACAAATAAATCTTAAAAAAAAAAAAGCCAGACACAAAAGAGCATGTTCTCTGTGATTGCATTTATATGAAATTCAGAAAAGGCAAAAACTAATCTAGGATGATCAAGATCAGAATAGCGGCTGCCTCTGAGGGGAGCCTATTATGAGCGGAATAGCTTAGATCCGTGCACTTGATTGAATGTAAGTTATACCTTCATAAAAAAAAAAAATACAAGGTGTCCATTGTGTTTTTTTCTTCCCAGATGAATAACTATTTATTCATCCATTTTTTTTTTCACTGCTCTGCTTCTTTTTAAACATTTGAGGTGACTTCTGAAGGTGTGTGGCTTTGAGTGTGTTCATCAGGGAAGAAATTGGAGCGGTGCTACACTAAGGACAGGGGATCGAGATGAAACGTGCTGTGAGGAGAGCCCTTGGTATTTATATCAGGAAGTCCTGAGCGTTTCCTATGGAGCTTCCCAGCAGTCCACATGAAGAAGAAACATGATTCCACATCCAAAAGTTAACGGTTCATCTGATCAGAGGACAGAGACCCGAGAGAAATTTCTCCCGTGCTGTCTCAGAAAAGGGCAACTATGTGTGTTTTAAACATCCCATTCGGGGCCCTGGCTCTCCGAGTGCTTCAGCCCATGTTTTCACCCCTGATGCTCCCACCCCTGCCCTCCTGGGAATTAGGGCAAGGCAGTCTCCCAGAGACACTCAAGGCCCCTCCCCCGTGCTGCAATGTGGGGCCTGCACCCAGATACCTGTTGTATTCCCGGATGCAGTTTGGGGGTGGCTCGTGAGGGCTGGGTTTCTGCTCTTTGGGGTGCCCGAGTTGCCATCCTGGTTTCTGGAATGGGGGCGTCCTCAGCCGGAGCTTTGCCGCTCAGCCCATCTCGCTCACCGGTGCTCCTGGGTGGCCCGGCCTCTTCCCCAGCGACAGCTCTACTCGGAGCAGTTCCCCGGGGGTCCGGCTCTTTCCATCTTGGCATTTGGGTTGAGGGATCTTTCCACTTTCTGGCTCCTGTGTTTGAGTTGAATTCATATACCGCCCCAGTAACTAGGGGAAAAAACATATAACCACCATATAAATGAGGGAATTCAAATGCTCTCCTCCCCCATCTCTACCTGGCTCCTTTCTTACCCCAGGGAAAGAGGAAAGGCGTGAGGAGGGGTGAGTCATGGAGAGAGAAAGCACGCTCAGGAATGGTACAATCTTCACCAGCCTGCCCTTCCTATGAGCTTTAGGACTCTGACCACACAGGCAGCAAACATCATGCCTCCCTGGATAGAAAGGCTTAGGACAGGCTCTCGGCTGCAAGATTAGAAAGCCACATAAATCTTGAATTGCATGTCCGCTTTGGATACATTTGGTTCAGTTTCTAATGGGGTCACCCATTATGTTCTGATTTTTTTTAAAGATTTTATTTATTTTTTTGAGAGAGACAGAGCAAGAGAGCCTGAGCTGGTGGGAGGAGGGGCAGAGGGAGAAGCAAGCTCCCCGCCGAGCAGGGAGCCCGATGTGGGGCTTGATCCCAGGACCCTGGGACCATGACCTGAGCTGAAGGCAGACGCTTCATGGACTGAGCCCCCCAGGCGCCCCTGATGGGTTTGTTTTAAAAGCCCCCTAAATTCCAGACACAAGAAGGAAGCCACGGAGTAGGGAGGAAAGGACTCTGATTTTTACGTCTGTTAGGTTAGCGGAGACTTGTGGACACAGACATGGAGCCTCTGTGGAGATGGTGCAAGAGAGCCGTGTGACTGAGCCAGAGCGGCGGGCACTCATCGGTGCGCTCGTTCACATCCGTGCAGATGGCTCCTCTCTTCCTTTTTTCTGTCTCTCAGGCACACGAATGTCGATGACAGCCTTGGTCCTCCCTGGCTTTTGCCCCAGAAGATGGAGTCTCAGGCGATCCCCTGCTCTTGCTATGAGTGGCCTCTCGGCAGAGGATCCCACCAGCACTTATGCTAATGTGGGCACATTATGGTAACAAGTACCTAATAATAAAGGGAAATTTAATTCCGACAGCGGCAGCAGCCTCTCCTGGAGAGGAGCCACCCTCCCGAGAAGGACCGAGCCACTTGCATGTGAGGATGGCAGGGGGCCAGCACACTTGCCTCCCGAATTTGGTTTCCTTCCCTTTATTCACATCTATAATTGAGCCTTTGTAAGTGGAGGGATGTGTGTAAAGGAGCTAAATTTGGAGCTGATTTCATGGGGGTGAGGGGAGCCCTGGAGGCCAGCTTTACCTTATGTTCATCTTGCCCACCAAGAAGAAATTCTTGGCCCTGATCTAAGGAAAAAGGGAGCCAAGCCTGCCATTTCTCCATCTCTCTCACTACCAATAGGATGGTGTTAGAAGCATTCAGAAAGGACTGGGGGAGGAGGTTGAGTTCCAAAGGGCAGGCAGAATACACCAGTCTCCTGAGTTGGTTTGCGATTTAGGAAGGGAGGCTAGAGAGGGCGGGAGACTTTAGGTGGAAATCTGCTGAGGCCTCACACGTGGTCGGATGCTTGAGCATCTGCCAGCTCAGAGGTGATCTCCCCTGGGATGGCAGCCGGAAGGGTCAGACAACACCCTCAAACGGAGGGACAAACTGAGTTAAGGGCAGGACCTTGGATAGGGTCCTCCATGACTCTACCCACCTGGAATATGAAAAACACCTTTTGGATGGACGGCACTGCCACTTAATTACCTGGGTCGATGGCTTCTCCATCAAAGACGGAGTTCATCTGAATTGTTTCCTAAGGAGGAGAAAGAGACAGCTTCAAGCACAACCCTACACGCCTCCCGCCCTGCCGGGCTGCTCATCCTCACAGCCGGCTGCGTTCCTTACTCAGGGCCTTCTTGACCCTTGTCTACTCGCTAGGCACCGTGCTAGATGCTGGGGACACAGTAGTGAACATGACAGGTGTGGGGGCTGCCTGCACAAAGCTTGCAGTCAGTGGGAGCCCCTGCCAATAGGTGCACGACATAGAGTGATAAGGTGGACCGTGGGACTCTGGCATGCTCGGGGCCCAGGAGGGCCAGGAGGACATCTAATCCAGCTTGGGAGGCAGGAAAGCATCCCAAGTAAATGCTGTCTAAGCTGCACAGAAAGAAGAGCAGAAATGCCACACAACCCTGGCTGAGACCTCCTTTGCCTAAGTGGGATCTGTCAGGCAGGCGTGCGTGGCAGGCAGAGAGAAGCACTCACGTGCTCCCATCCGTGGGCTCTGGCTGTGTCCCCTTGCCTAGGCCAACACAGTGTTGCATCTGGGCCTGGCCTGCCTTCCCTATGCCTGGTGCTCCAGCTCCCCTCCTTCCCCTGTTCTCTGTGCCACCCTCTGGGGACCTGACCTCTGTCTCCAGGGAAACACCCCCTTCTCTCACAAGGTGCCCTCCGGAGGTGCCCTTCTTTAGCATGCTAATGAGGATGATGTTTGGAGTCTAGGGGGTTCTCATCACACCAGCCATCATCCACGCACTGACCCACGGCTCCCCAACTCCCACGACAGAGGAAATGGAGACCATATGGGTTTTATCCATTTGAACAGTTCAGCAGCTACACTTTTTATGGTCATGGGGATTTACTTATTTAATTAATTTAATACATATTTCTAAGGTGCTCTCTGAGTGGCATCACCAAGGGGACTTGCCTTAGACACTAAGACTAAGGAGATAAGAGATCCCCTCTTCCTCCCGAGTGTAGACAGGCCTGTCCGATAAGCACTTAGGTGATGGACCTGAAGCAGAAATTCTGGAGCACTGGATAGTGTTTGTCATTGTGCGTATCATTCCCCCCATTTATGGGTCTTGGATCATAACAGAAACTTATTCTCAGGGGGTGAGGGAGACTGGAGGGGTCACCTTCAAGTTCTGTCACTTCCCAGTGGGCAGATCAGGTTCAGTAAAAAAAACAAGGAGGTAAGGGTGGGGGGCAGCGGGAACACTCCCCAGCTATCTTGTAACACTTGGCATTTGCGTGACTCTTAACAGTTCTCAAGGTAGTTCCTCACCTGCGACCCTGGGGCATGTGTTCTCACTCCCATTTTACAGATGAGGAATCTAAAGCTTAAAGAGGCTGAGGCAGTCTGCAAGGTCACACGGTCAAGTGGGCCAGAGCCCACCCCTGGACCAAGCTGTGCCCCATCTCCCTTGCTTTTCTGCAAGGTTGTGGAACAGTGAAGAAAAAATAAATATCACCGAAGGCTGAGGCTCCATTTCTGGTCTTTAAGGCAACTCACTCTCCTGGAGAGCTGGTGTAGATAATAAACACCACTATTCAATATTTATGAAATCCACTTCTTCTGCAAATATATCAGCAGACATGTTCAGTGGAGGGAACAAATTCTATCAGGAGCTCGTCACACAGCAATCTGTTCCAGTAGCCAAATACAAGCATCTCCCTGAATGATAAACACTCCCACGAGGCTGTGGCAGGGTCTGCCTGAGAGGGGCGGGAGCGGCTCACCACACGTCACCCAATCCAGGTGCCCCGTGGCCACCACACTTACCACCAAAACCTCTGGCTTTGTAGTCTTCATCTCTGCAGGGAAAAGAACAGATAGAAGTGAAGCTCCTTGGACACTAAATTGACCTTGAAATTCTACCTCCACAGTGGGATTTCTCTTAAACAGGCTTTGAACTTAGTATTGCAGACAGGACAAGGAATTCTCTGTAGAAATGTTTATTGACAGTTTTCTACCTTCTCAGAAAAATACACACCCACACACATGCACACACATAATAATAATATACAGAATTTGTTTTTGAATGTTACTCTTTTCCCAATTTATTGCTATTACTGGACCTGGGTAATTAGCTTTTCACTGAAAGATGAGAAAGGTCCAGTTGATACATTTGTTCATAATGTGAGGATTCTTTGAATCCATTCCCTATGCCCTTTTAAAAAGTAACTAGGGTGGGTGACGGTCTGTGAAGACCTCATCAAAATCATTTCATTTGATATGATCAATAACCATTACAATCAAATTTCTAACCCTGCTTAGTGCCTTGTGCATCTCAGCCACACACGCCTATGGATTGAGTGATTAAAGCAATCTTTTTTGGGGCGCCTGGATGGCTCAGTCCATTAAGCGTCTGCCTTCAGCTCAGGTCATGATCCTGGAGTCCCAGGATCGGGTCCCACATCAGGCTCCCTGCTCCGTGGGGAGTCTGCTTCGCCCTCTGACCCTCCCCCCTCTCTACCCTCTCTCTCTCTCTCTCTCACTCTCTGTCTCTCAAATAAGTAAATACAATCTTTAAAAAAAAAAAAGCCATCTTTTTTTTTTTTTTTAAACACACTTTCCAATCCTCTGTCCCGTCTCTCCCCATAGCCTGGATTTCCCTCGAAGCAGCAACTTTCCGGGCTTGGGTCTGTCATCCCCTTGGGCTTGGTGTCCTTACTCGGATGGGAATTTGCTCAACTCACCAGCGCCTCAACTCTCCCCGCCCATCGGACTGCACCCCACCCCCCTTTCCGACTTGCCTGACCCAAATAACTTGTGAAAATGATCAAATCCGTTACAATCTGAGAATAAAGTGTCATTTGTTCTTGCAAAAGAGGCATGTGTCCAATACAGAGCATTCGCTGCCCTCGGGAGCGGTCCCAGCCCTCCCTGTGCAGCAGCAAGTAGATACTGTCTGTGTTTCACTCCTGGAGAATTCGTCACTCCTGGCCGACTTGGCGGGGAACAGACCTCTAGGTGCCTCAGTTCAGCTGGCTGGAGGCAAGTCTGGGTAGGAAACAGGCAGGACTCAGAGAGATCTGAGCACCTAATGGCACCATGCGCCTTGCCCTTTCCTTTCTCCGTCTACATCTGACCTCTCATTTCAGCCACAGAAGACGCGACTGAAAACACACTGAGGCAGAACTACACCCCGATTCTCTGCTGAGTTGGAACCCTTTTATTTAGTACAAGAGAGCAAGCAAAACCCAACAACAGTGACAGCCACAAACAAAGGGAATAGGCATGGTACATACCTCCTTTCTTCACCCTGTGGGGAAAAACAAGAGAGGGACAAGAATTAACCTGAAAGTATTCTGCTCTGGTTCACATATAATAACTTGGAGCCTTGGGGCAACTGTGTTCCTTGGGATTCAGATTGATTAAAAGAGGGGCCAGGCTTGGGGACTAAAATGAAGGCTGGGCTCCCACCCCTGCTCCAAACAAAGCAGCTCCATCACTGTTGGTGTGGGACTTAAGAGGTTCTAGGAGTTTGGTAAGTTTGAAAACTATTGCCTTATAGAACTCGAGGGAATGTATTTTCTCTGACAGCACAGGCGAGGGCATGACCAGCGGGTCTGGCAATTCTTCCCACCTCCTTTTTCTCCCCAATAGCCACCTTGAGCAGAAGGCTTGGCTCACAGCAGGAAGCTTCAAGGGCTGGCAGTTAAACCCTGTTTTCCTATAACAGGAAGACCTGGACTTGGATGCTAAGCCCCTTCCCAGGATAACCTTGGGCTCCATAATTCTGTGACTCTAATTTTCTTCTTTGCTGTTGGACAAACGTTGGCTGCCATATGGTACACCTAATTTCCAGAGAGGCCAGGCCTGAGCTTGTTATTATTACTAACTAGTTTTTCTTTTGTAAGTCAACCATGTTGGAAACGATTAATATTTAGGATGTAAGTTAAGGCAACCAAGTTCAAGGTACATGGAACCATAAATTGCTTGAGAGCTGCAGTGTCTAATGGATGACTACCTTTAAGAACTTCTGTCCAAACCCCATTACAGAGCACCACCATCCTTACAAGCTTAAGCGTCACTCTTTTGGAACCAATTTTTTCTTCCAAATCAATTTGTGAGTAGAGCCCAAACAAAAATGCCTCTTTTAATTTCAGCAGATGCTCACGGATTTCTTACCTTGAAGTCAAGGTTGCCAATAGCAACAAACTTCCCCAATAAATATGGCAAAATGCAATGCACATCTTTATGCTAATGCCTTATACTTTTGTAGAGTCTTTTCATCCACAGATTTTAAGTTATTCGACAGTACTAGTTAATCTTCAAAACACCTTTAAAAGGTATAGGAAGTCTCATCACTCCCTTGTGGTGCCAAAACTCAGGTTCCAACATCCTGAGATACTTCAGCATAGAGCTAAACTTGGAACCTAGAATCCTGAGCTCACGGGGACTCAGCCACAAAAAAAATAATGCAACAAGACTCAACAAACACTATATTAAGCATTTACTCAACATCAGGAACACTGCTAAGTGCTTCCTTTGCCTTTGTCATTTGACTGTTTACTTTTCAAATAAGGAATTGAGATTCACAAAGGTTGCCATTTGTCTGAGGCCATATGGAAAATGGTGAGCCCAGAGCCGAAACAGGCCTTGTCTCTCTCCAAAGCCCCAGGATCAGAACCATCATGCTGTCGTGGGGGGACCTTCTGAGACTCGAGAAACCGGGTCTAGGGAAGCTTGGAACAATGAAGCGCTCTCTCCATTTCACTCCAGTGTCTCACTTCAGCGGAGTACATGGTAAGAGGCACGTGAGTGAGCAGGAGGGAAGAGGAGGGAGGGGAAACAGGCCTTTGCTTCCAGCCCTGGGGAGTGAAAGATTGGGGTCACATGCAAAAGAACAATGATGATTTATTCACACAAAAGCCCAGTGAGTCACTGGAGCCAAAAGCTTAATTCCCTTAGCAGTTTTCTGTGGTTTCTCTAATTCCCTCCCATCCTTTAAATATTCTACAAATACCAGCACAGTATATCCTATCACTACTCACAACCAGGCTTTTTTTCTTCTGAGGCTTTTATTCAGGGCAAGTTCACCGGAGGAGGAAGCCCCATTTCACTGAGGATGTTTCAAGGACAGGGCAGGTGCCATGGAAAACCAGGCCCAGTAGGTGATGCAGAGCGTACCAGGACCCTAGGCGAGCCATCCCCCCGCTGACTTCTCCTTCCTTCACTCCAGGCTCCCTCTCTGCCCTGGAGAGAAATCCTAATTCCTTCCATTCCCTCTCCTGACATCACTGGCAACAGTGGCCTAAAGGAAGTGGTGAAAAGGGCCCAGCCCACCGACAACTTACGGAAGTTTCTTGGGCTTCCCAGTCTTGCGGGGACAGTGTCTGTGGATGGCTTTGGCCAACAGGACAAACAGGGATCCCAGGAGGCCCAGAAGCAATATGGAGCCCAACGTGATGACAAAAGGCACATACCACGCTGATGGAGAATAAACATTTTTTCTCAGGACCTGGTAGATGACCCTGGGCTTGAATGACAGAGGGGGGCAGGTGAGCCGTTTTTGACATCAGCACTCTTGTGTCAAGTGTTGGTTCTGCTCTTTGTTCTTGCTCTATACACGGGGGCATCCATGTGCTCACTGTTCTTGCTGCTTCAACCCATCAGCTTATTTATAGTCTTTCCAAGCACCCAGGAGATCAAAACCCAGAAAATTGAGGGAACTGAAAAGCAACTCCAGACCTATTTTTACTCTTTCTTCCCCTTCCCAAACGCTAAAAATCCCATTGGCTTTTTTCCCTGCCAAATCATGGCATAACCCTGGGACGAATATAGCCATTGTCTCTCACTGGGAAGGCATGCGCCACGAAAGCTGTTCTTTTAAGACTTTATAGGCTTTGCAGTGTCCCCTCGCAGCAAGCCGCACAGCCAGATCACACAGGGCTGTTGGCACAGCAGAACCTCAAGCTTGGCATTTGCTTCCTGGAGAAGAAGACTGTACCAAACAAGGTATGGAGATTTGGGGGCTGGAGATGTCACCACCGGGTCATGTAAGCCCCAGTAAGGTGGCAGCTCCTTACTCAAGGGAGCCTACTGGCTCCTACCACTAGTGAAAGCCCTTAAGAGCATCTTATGTCTCCGTTCGTTGGGGTGATATTGACTCCAGCACACGGGAGATGAACAGGGACCAGCTCATGGTAGGACTTGGACAAACAGAATTTGACCACTGGTCACGGGTAGCTAAGGTTCTGATGACTTCTCCTCTAGCACACTGCACGTGTGGGGCTGCCTCCTAAGGGCACAACTTTCCCTAGGAGCAGGAGGAAAGGGGGCAAAAGAGTTAGAGTCCCTCCAAGGAGCAGGAGGAGATAATCCTATTGTCAGACTCCGAGACTCTCTCCCTTCCTTCATCACACTGGTTTTATGGGCACTTGCTTGTTTGCTTCCTACTATCTACTACAATCTGTAGTTAATGAATGAATTTGGCTACCTGTTTGTCATCTGTCTCCCTCTCTAGATCCGCAGCTCTCAAACCTTAGAGCACATCAGAATCCCCTTGGAGGCTTATTAAAAACACAGATTACTGGGTCCTATTCCCAGAGCTTCTTCTGATCCAGTAGTTCTGGGGATGTGGCTGAGGACTCCAGGTTCCAGTATCTTTCCCTAGAGGTCATGGTGATGATCACAACTTCAATATTCTGGGGTGGATCTAAGAATTTGCATTTCTAACAGGTTTCCAGGTGGTGCTGTTGCTGATGGCCTGGGGATCACTGACTTACTGGAAGCTCCATGACAGCAGAGATCATTTTTGGCTTGTTCACCAAAGAGCTTGGCATATTATAGGTATTCAATCGATATTTGTAGATTGAACCAATGAATTTTTTTGGAGTGGGGGTGGGGAGTAGGGTACAGATTGGTGCATAGGGACTCTTCAAAAGAAGTGGAGAAGAGCACAAAACCAGCTACCTGCCTTCATGGACATTGACTTGCAATGGTCTTTCAGAGCAAGCACAGAAGGGGTTGTGAAGGAAGCTGCTGGCCACACGTCCATGAAAATTGGCTCCTGTGCCACAAGCACCACACGTGGTCAATACCTGATCTATCACAAGTCAGTGCAGAAATGCGCATTCTTCTTTAGCAACATAGGAAAGCTAATGGTTCTACAAATCCAAGGTCTCACTCAGATCTTTGTCTACCACCCAGTGACTACTCCGGTCCAGCCCATAGTTGGCATTCCTGGCAACATCCTAGCACCTCAACTCTTTTCAGCCCATCCCATATTTCTCCTGGGTCAAGGGGCTCCATCGATGTACATCACAAGGGACGTATCTGGGGAGTCCAGGTCCCAAAGCCCTTACCCTGGTGGTTGTGGTGACAACTGTGGTGGGGTGAGGAATGACGCTAATACTCAGCGTTACCGTTCCTGTTTCAACGTGAGCCTGAGCTTTCTTCCTGCCAGACAGCAAGTTGTCATCAGTTATGTAGACAAGTAGTTTGTAGTCCCAGATCTTGTCAAGCCCACTGGCGTAGTCGAAGCGTGTCGCAAGAAGCAGACTTGTAACGTTGGACCCAGCGTTGGGAGAGAAGGTGAAATGACTGTTGATGTTGCCTAAATGCGATGTGATACAAGGATTTGGGGAAAAGAAAGAAAAGAGAGTGAGAAAGGGGTTTAGAAGGAACCCCTTCATTCCATCATCTCCTCAAACATCCACGCCTCAGGTGTCAACCGTGTTTCTGACACACCAGCGCCAGGTCGGTGATAGGCTATGGGCCGAATTCACTCCATTGCCTTTGGCGGAACCTGGCTGGCCACCCTGGTGGTGCCTCCTGGCCCGGCCTGGGTTGCAGTCCCAGGTCCTCCCGCATCCACCCCATACCCGCCTCCCCCACAGCTGGGTTGGGGCTCAAGGCTCACAGCTTCGAGTGCCCGGGGCAGAAAGGCTGCCACCCAAGCTGTCCTTGCTCAGTCCTCTGGTGGCTCCAGACTCATTACCGACAGCAAACCAGTAAATGGAGCAGGAGATGATGCAGTTTGTACTCCCTTAGCAGCGAAGAGCTCCATAAAGGCCTGAGGGTTCTCAGTATGGATTCTTTCCATCTTTGGCAACTGCCATGTGGAGGCGGTCCCTGCCTCTGGGTTTTGCGACACCGCCTGCTCGAGGCTCCCTACCGTTGGAGTTCCCGCTCCTCCAGGGCTCAGCGGGCAGCCGAGATGGATTTTTACTCTTTCACATGGAATTGCTCTGCCTGTTTGGGTTTCAATCTCTGGCCCCAGCCCTTCATTAGATGAGCTATTTTGGTCTCATTTCCAGTGAGGGTTCTCTTCCCCCCCGCCCCCCACAGTGGTATATTTTTAAAGAGAGAAAGTGAATGGAGTAAAAGAGAATTCCTGAGGACACGTTTCAAAATGCGTTTAATCTATTTAATCTATTATTATCCAGAGAGAAGACTGGGATGCCCCACCCCCACTACAAGCTGGCAGGAAAAGAGGCGGTTGAGGAGGGGGACCAAAAAATTTAAACTACACTAATATGGTTTATGCACCGTGATGGGTGGGAATTGTGGAGGGTGGGGGATGCCATCTGTGGGGTTCACTCTTCCTTGGGCCTTTGGGCAACCACGGATGGGAGTCTGGGAAGAGTTAGGTGAGACGGAGAAGCCAAAGGACTTGGAGGCACAGGGCCATTACGTTTCTCAACCTAGCTTCCCTCATTCAAAATACCCCCAGGCACACACACACACACACACACACACACACACACTGTGCTCCAATCAGTATACGAGCACAGACCCCCTTCTCCCTAAACAGCTGCTAAGGCCTCCAACACCAAGAGCCCTTGGAAACTGTGTACCTGGGCCCATGGAGTAACGAAACGACCTGGGGCTGGAATCAAGGTCGGTACACGTCAGCTTGAAATTTTGAATGTTTGTGCCAACTTTCAGATCCATGGGGATGGCCAAGAAATAAGAGTTTGGGGTACAAATCGGCTTTTCATCATTTTCTTCGAGGATGTTCACAGTTACCTAGAACAGCAAGAAGGCGGCCATGGTTAACAGCTAAAGCTCATGGAGAACTTACTGTATGCCAGGCACTGGGCTGGGTGCTTTTGGTGGACCAGCTCATGGAACCTTCCCTGAGCTAGATGATATGATTATTCCCATTCTCCAGATGAGGAAACTGAGGCTCAGGGAGATTAGGTAGTGGACCTCAGGCCATTCCATTTGGTGAGCAGCACAGTTCAGGCAATTTCAACTCAGGTCTGTCCTACTCCAAGTCCTGGGCTATTACCCTCTGTTCTGTGTGTGTGTGTGTGTGTGTGTGCACTCATGTGCATAATATATATATACACATTCACATACCACCCCCCACATGCACCTACAAGCATGGGTTCATCCCCACATGATGCAGAGTTGTTTTTCCAGTAAGGAAGGCGAATTTACAGTGACCCCCCTATAGTTCCTTGCCCATCGCCCTTGCAGATTGGAAGTTCTGTCTTTAACTCTGGAATATAGAACAATGGTTCTCAGCTCTGGCTCCACTTTGTAGGCCCACTCCAGACCAGGTGAAGTGGACTCTCAGGAGGGTGGGGCCCAGGCACTTTTGTAAGTGTTCTCCAGCTGATTCTAATATGCAGCCAGGGTTGAGAACCACTGGGATAGAAGGAGTCGACCTGGCTAAGCTGGGACCTCATCTGTGACCTGGGCTATGGGCACCGCACGAAGCCGGTGGCCTAAGCTGCCACAAGCAGAAGCTAGCGTCTTCTGTTTCATCATCATCTTTTATGCTTGGTGAATTGAACTACGGACTGGGACGCCTGCCAGCGTGGAATCATAGAATGTCAGCCCTGGAAGGGACTTACGTGATCATCACCCTTTTTAAAGGCTTATGAATTTTGAGTCGTGTTCATTCTACCTTTGAAATTTGGGGATTTCAGCTATTTCCGAGCCCGGGAATAAATTGAAATGTTCACTCCAGTTAGCTCCCAAAGTGGAGTCCATTCATTTTTCTCAAAAACCCAGCCTAACAAACACGACAATTATCTTCAGCTTAGCACGTCTTTTGCTCGGCTAGCAATGTCGAGCCTCGCACATCATTAAAAACATGTCCTATTAATTCAAAGCCAGTCATCAGAGGAACTGGACTGTTCAGGCGATGGGTTATCAGGTGACTCTCCATTTAAGAGAGAGAGAAATTGGGACACAAAGATAAGCGTTGCTCAGACCCCCTTGGAAAATTGGGATTAAAGTTGAGACAGGAACTCCATCTCTGGATTGAACCAGTCGTTCTCTGTATCACACGGGGCTGCGTGCCATTGACCAAGAGTTCATTTTGCCTTCATTTTATTAGTGGGAAAGACCGAGAAATAGTTCTGTCTTTGTGGGCATCGTATTATCTCCAGATAATCATAACCATGGACAGCACAACCCTATTAAACCCTTGTTACTCAAAGTGTGGCCTCAGACCAGCTGCATCAGCACCACTTGGAAGTGTGTTAGAAATGCAGATTCCGAGGCCCACTTAGACCTGCCGACTCAGCGTCTACATTTAACCAGATGCGCAACACCACGGTTGAGAAGCAGCATAACCCTGGGTCAAGCCACATCATATGAAGGTCTACCCTATCTGATGTGATTCGGGAGGGGTAGGAACATGGCAAAACTACGCATAGCGACGAAACCACACCACACTTCTGGAAGCATGCATCTCACTGCTAGCCCACTGCCAAAGTGAAGGGAGATCTAAAAGGTAACAGGGGGAAGCCAGCTGTGCAGAGTGGTCATCAATCTTGGCACACCTCCCAGCCACCCACAAACTTGGGCCTACAGATGCCAATCTTTATTTCCTAGGCTCTGCTAGCTGTGTCCAAGAGTGCCATCCTGGACACTAGTCATTTCCCCTTACATCTGCGGGATGGGCCCCGTTAAGATTCCTTATTGCTACAGCCACACCTGGAAGGTGCCAGAAAGATCTTAAGTCAACCGGTTGGGCTGGTGTGAACAGCCCCACTCACAGTGACTGAGCTGCTGTCCTCGACGTTGGTGGCCTGGATTCTGAGAATATAGATGGGGGTTGTTTCGTAGTCTGCTTTCGTCACCAGCTGGAGTTCTCCTGTCTGGGGATTGATCCAAAATATGTTTGGGTACTGGAGGCTGGCTCCTCCCATGGAGATGGAGTACATGATGCTGCTCTGGGGGAAGTCTTTATCGGTGGCATGCACTAGTCCCACCCGGGTTCGAGCTGGAAGGATAAAGAACCTGAGATTAGTCCTGCTTTGGGGGGCGGGGTGCGGGAGGGGAGACTCCAGGAGCACACATTCCCATCACCATGGGCAGAAGGACTTTTGGAGGTCTCTTTGCTGTTCGTACACTGTATGTTTTATGTCTCCAAGTCTATTAAAATCAAATTATGCTAATGAGCATGTACCGGGTAATGGGCCCTATGATCCAAGCCATAGAGTAAGGCGTTCCCAGGACCCTGGGATCATGACCTGAGCCAAAGGCAGACACTTAACCGACCGAGCCACCCAGGCGTCCCTAGAGTATAGAATTTTAAAGACTGCTCCATTTTGCTTATTTTACAAAGCTTGTTGGTGGGGCTGCTGGAGTTCTGGCTGGCTTGTTCTGTGGCTCTTTCTCATACTTTGCACTCCTCAAGGGCAGAAACCTCTCATTTAACTGTGTAGCTCCAGTGCCAAGTGCTTGACCCACAGTAGGTGATCAATAATCACAATAAGATCTGTGAAGAATAAGAAGCTTGCTTATTCTTGGGGCGC